TTACATAGGTCAATGTGGAAAAAATCCGACCGTGAATGTGAAGCGTGGAAAAGTCAAAAATTGTAGACTACCGATGGATGTGCGCCACATGTCAAATATGTAATGTATTATGTAAATGATTATATACTTGTAGTATGATCCTATTTTAAATTGCTTTATAAATGAGGTAAAAGTATTCATTTATCCTTTTGATCTAAATATGAGAGAAATGCAAACTTCTGAAAATAAATGTTAATTATTATACATGCATGTAAATAGTAAAATGAATATTTGAATATGAATATTAGAATTACAACTAAATGCATAAATGAAAATGGATGACAAATACGATACATGAATTAATGTAAATGTTAATTAATTTAGAAGTAATACCAAGAAATGTAAATATATGACAATGAATGTTAAATCATTCATATTGAATGAATATAATTTAATTTTTAATTATGTGAAACAATATGCTAATTAGCATATATGGACGTAAATAATGAATTGTGTTCTTAAATGTGAAATTCTAAATAATATTAATTAAATAAATGTGAATATTAATAATATGGACATGGACATATATGTGAATGTGAATGTGAATGTGAAATTCTAAATAATATTAATTAAATGAATGTGAATGTTAATGTTAATGTTAATTAATTGAGAATTAATTATATTATTTATTACAATTTGTAAATTAAATACATATTGAAAAAGGGAAAGTAAGATACTATTGAAATAATTGAATCGTAGAAGAGTTATAATCGTTCAAAAAATAATTCTCACTTCATGTGATGTTTAACATATTATAGATAGCGGCTTCAAAAGATTCAATGTCAAGTCATCCCAAATCACACCAAGCCAAATTCTAGATAGGCCGGTCTAGTTAGTATGATCGTTTATTTGAAGCCTGTATCTACTCATAAAAGTTTTAATTCTTTTTTCTTCTTCTTCTTATATAAGTAATAATTCAAGTTCTCAAGACATGTTTGTTATATTACAAATGCATTCATCAACCATGACCAACCCTATCAAGTCTACATCACTCACCCTACAACTTATCTTTATCACACTACAAACAGAGAGTAGGAGTGTAAAGACTTCAATTGTCATTAAAAAAAACTCTATTGAGAACGTGACAAATTCCCGTGGGCGAACAAAACCTAACCCGCACAAAAAGGATGAAATATTCACATCATTAGGCCGGCAATTTGTGCCTGCCGCCTGCAACAAGTCCTTTTCAGTACCTAACGTGGAAAACATGAGTTTTAATTTTTATTTTTTTTGTTATTTTATATGCTTTAATTTAAAAAAAAATTCAAAAATATTTTTCTTTTGTGTACTTGTGTGAATTAGTTGGTCTGGCTAGCAATGAGAAATGTATTGAATCATAAATAGATCGATGAATCTCTGGCGTAACGCAATGTCAAATACTATATGATAATTAGAAAGGCACAAACCTTTTCAGAAGACGTTATCTCTGTATTTTCTATTTCTTTTGAAATTTCTGGTTATCTTCATAATATGTAATTGGATTTGCAAATTATGCACAAGCAACTCTCAAAAACAATTGGGTTCTTAATTTATTTTGAGCCCGTTTGGTGCACATTAAAATGAGATAATTTATTTTTTTGAAGTGATGTGATAAAGAATTGTAGTTGAAAAAGAAGGAAAAATTATTGATGTGATGAAAAATATTATTTTATTGAAGAATGTGTGGTTAAAAATGAGTAAAAGAATGAGAATGAAAAAATTAATGTGGATCAAATATAGAATACAGAACCGATCATGCCACGATTAGTTCCAATTTTTTCAGTAAAAACAAAAAATATCATGTGCATCCCAAGGTTAGTAAATTAATGAATTCGTTCTCAATTACGCACACCTCCTTTTTTCCTTTCAAGTATCTGCCTAAAAGAACAGAATCAACCTATACTTTCGCAAAGGCTCATATCACTTGTTATTTTATGTGTTTTATCAACTTAGGACATTGTTAAGGTTTTTTTTTTTTTTTTTTTCCATAAGTTTATCAACTCATTTTGTTTTATTTTTTATCCAACTTCTTTACCAATAGATTCTTGACTTGATCACATTCAAGTTTTTTTTTTTCCTTGTAATTGATTCTTGGCCTTATTTTTAAAATTTCATTTTTATTGACTGGTATTTAATCTTGCTCCTAAGGTTTTTAATTCATGGGTCGTTAACAAGACCCAAAGTTAGTTTACAAAGTTAATTACATTCTTAATCTATAATTAATGGACCAAAAAACTAATATCATTCTTCTATGCCCTTGTTTGATGGAAATTAAAACTAGATTTTTAAGTAGATTTTGATAAAAATTGATGAAATGTGTGGTTGAAAAGTTATGAATCACATAAAATATGTGATTAAAATTAATCGTTAACTTTGAGATAGATTAAAATCTAAATTGTTAAATCATATTTTACAATTCTATCTTGTGTTCTTTTCCCAAAAATCAAGATGGAGATCTGCTCCTTGTACACTAATTAATCAGTGGGGCCCACACTAATCAGTGTGGGCTGTACAATGTACAAGGACTGTACAAGGAGAAAAATTCATCAAGATGAGTATCTACGCTAGCCACAAGAATTATCCTCCTATCCTGTTTCTAAGAAGATTTTATTGAGATTTCAGTGCACAAAAAGTAAGTATCAAAATCAAGTCTATCAGAATTCTTGTACCACCACTTCTCCAAATCGTCATCTCCTTCGTCATCTCCTTGATTGATCACTTCTAGATCTTACTTTCTATGGTGCATAAAACTGCGTCAGCATCGGTTCATTTTTATATGGACGTGATTTCACAATGATGAAATTATATATTAGCATGTTTTGCGGTACCTTTTTCACAACAGCTTAGCAAATTTTAGGAATTCTAAGAACCAATAGGGACTATTGGAGCCTTGTGTAATGTTAGCCCGAGTGGTATTAAAATACCAGTTTAAGTGACGTTAAGCGATATCAAAGGTATACCTAATTATATAAACAGATCCAGTTTTCTTAAATTAAATTAAACACACTAGCGAACCCAAGGGCCCACAACTTTTGAGATTTTTTTTAAAAGTTATGTTTGGTATTTAAATTTAAATTTTAATCTAAATTAAAGTTAACAATTAATTTTAATAACATAGTTCATGAAATCCATAGCTGTTTAATTTTTATCAAAATTTGATTTTAATCTCTACCAATAATAATTAATTTTAATAACATATTTCATGGAAACCATAACTGTTTAACTTTTATCCAAATTTACTAAAAATTTGATTTTAATCTCCACCAAATAGGGGCAAAATCACAATAAATTTGAATTTCGATAACATGTTAATTTTAAAAATTCTCCGACGATCGTAAGCTAATCAATTCTACAAATTGTTTATGTCATCTCAAAACTTAGTTTGAAAACTACGTTATAGGCATATCGAATAGTCCAAACATATATCGAAAATAGTTAAAAATACGTTAAACGTGAGCCTTAAAGAAAGACGTCTAAATCTCATTTTTTTTTAAAAAAAAAATTCAATTATTTCATTAACATTTTGCGATACAAAGTTCTCAATATAATTTTCGTCATTTTATTATGAAATTTTATATGAAATATAACATCAAAAAATTTCGAAATTTTACATCCAAAAAAAGTTATGTCCTATGTAAATTTTCTGATGCAAAATTACACGTGGTATGATTTTTTAGGACGTAAATTTTCGATTGTAAACTTTCTTCCAACTTCTTTGCAAATTCGATTGTGCCCCCCTAACTTTAAAACTCTGGGTCGGCCCTTGATTAAACATATCATTTAGTGCTACCTAAATTAGTGTCGTAACATCACTACTGTTAGATAGCAATGTTTATGGTATGTTTAATAAGTTGGTTAATGTCAAATATTGTAATTGGTATCTTTTTTTTTTTTTGAATTATGCCAAAGCAACATTTTGTCAATTCAAACGTAGTAGTGCGTTTCGTTAAAAGAAGAGAACGAAGTTAAAAATTTTGTCATGTACCAAATATTTAGTCAAAATCTTAACAACTCGTCATGAAGTTCAAAGTCTAAATGAAATCCTAACTACTAAAATGAAAGATGCAAATTATTGTCTACTTAGTCCTGTAAAAGATTATTGTGCATATTCACGTTTTATATGTAATTTATTTGGAAATTAAGTAAAACAGGATGACATTAATTGATCAAGTACAATGGGCTATATTTGGCAAGGAACTGACTAAACTTCCCCTCTTAACAGTGAAATGGCGACAGGTAACCTTACCGACAGAAAATTTACACGTGTCTTTACGTGGTTTGTCATATAGAATCCTTACACGATTCTCCTCTCCTATCAACCATACCAACCATATGTTACTGAGCTAGTTTGATAAATATTAAAATTCAATTCAATTTGAAAATATAGTCGTTATTGGAACTCACTCGTCTAATAAAAGTTAACGATAACGACTAATTTTTCAATTTTAATTCGATTTTTCAATTTTAATTCGATTTTAAAGCTTTTTGTACATTTCCGTTTCTCTTGTGTGTGTAGATTACACTCAGGGGGGCGGATCAAGGATCGAACTACAAATCGAACTAATACGTAGAAAAAAATTAATTAACACATCCCCTGATTACACTGAAATTCACCACAAGCACGGACATACTATTTTTAAGATACATTGGAATTTATGAATTAAAATCCAGTACATATCTCATCCTTAAAGTCTTATAGATAAAATGAAAGTTGTAAAAGTTGTGTATATCTATTTATGCAAACTACACACGTATCGAACTTTGGATATAAAGGAAATTTAGATAACAAAATGCATCTTTTAAATTACTAGACGACATAATTCAGCACGTATTTGAATCATAATCAATATAAAAAAATATTCACTTGAGGTAATGGTCACTAGCCAGTCAAGCATAGAAGTAGTGGATGCTAGCTGCCTATAAGTACTGGAATATTGAGGGGAATATTTACAGCAAAAAATTAAGAAAACAAGAGAGCAATAATGGATGAGAAAAGTCAGCATGCCGAGAGGAAAAAGGGCGGTATCATCACTATGCCATTCATCTTTGGTGAGTTTAATTATTTATCAAACATTACATCACTTCAAATGTGAATTTGGAAATTAAAATCAAATTTGATCTGTTTATGAATTATGGTGTAATTAATATCAATGTTGTTCGGTTTGCAGCAAATGAAATATGTGAAAAGTTGGCTGTGGTTGGTTTTGGTACAAATATGCTCAGCTACTTAACAACTCAACTACATCTGCCACTCACTAAAGCAGCCAATACCATCACCAATTTTGGTGGCACTGCAGCGTTGACGCCGCTAATCGGCGCGTTTGTCGCCGATGCATTCGCCGGAAGGTTTTGGACCATAACAGTTGCTTCTATCATATATCAAATAGTTAAGTGTCTCTTTCTCTTTTTTCCTGTTGCAGGATAATGTTGAATCATTTCTTATAAAAATTTATAGGGAAAACTTATTTATTTAAGTTCACGTTTGAGCATCTTTTTTTTGGGAATAGATTTTGTAAAAATTAATTTATTTTGGAGAACGTATAAAAAGTTGAAAAAGTTTTGAGAACGTGCAAAATTATTTTATTGTAAGGATTTATAGTCGAAAATAAATTTGGAAAAAAATAATTTAAAGAATGATGCTCAAATAGAGGCTAAATAAGGCGTACAACAAGGCCCTATGCGCATATCTGATTTTCATCAAAGTCTTGACTTTTGCACCATTTTTATATATGGGATGAGTTATAAATCTTTACATAAATATTTATTTTTGTTTATTTTCATGATCAGGGGATGATCAGCTTGACAGTATCAGCAATTCTGCCCAAATTAAGGCCTCCTCCTTGTACACAGGATCATAAAGTTTGTACAGAAGCCAGTTCCGGCCAACTCGCCATCCTCTATATCTCCCTGCTGCTAACAGCTATAGGGGCAGGCGGAATTCGACCCTGTGTGGTGGCGTTTGGGGCCGATCAATTCGATGAAGCCGATCCTAAGCAGAAAACCACAACATGGAAATACTTTAATTGGTATTATTTCTGCATGGGGGCATCAATACTAGTGGCAGTGACAGTAATTGTTTATATTCAAGATAATATTGGATGGGGGTGGGGCCTTGGTATCCCAGCAATTGCCATGGCTCTATCAATTATTGCATTCATATTTGGCTATCCTTTGTATAGAAATCTTGATCCTGCTGGTAGTCCATTTACAAGGCTGATACAAGTTTGTGTCGCGGCGTATGAAAAAAGAAAGTTGCCAATGGTTTCTGATCCTAAATTATTGTATGAAAATGAAGATCTTGATGCTGCTATTTCTCTTGGTGGGAAGCTCATCCACACCAAGAATATGAAGTAAGTCTCTCTCTCTCAAGCTTTTGCTTTGTTTTTGTTTCCTTTTTGGGTTTTTTTTTTCAACCAATAATGGCGGAACAATAATTTCTGTTTGCATCAGTATATTCATCAATGCATTGTCAAAAAGGATACCCTACATAGAACAATTATTGAATATAAAAAAAACTTGATTAGTTACAATTATTATTAGTAAACATGTGCCATTTGATTTGTTGATAATATAAAAAATTAAGAATAGAGATGTTGATATAAGAAATGAAATTCATCTGCACGCATTAAGTGTTCTAGATTTTGAGATCTACTTTGCAAAAGAAACTTTATTTCATGGTATTTTTTGCAAATAATAACTTCTGCCCTATAGGGAAATGACGAATCGTGCGACAATTTGAAAATTTATGAACCATAATTTGCTCAAAATTTATATAAAGGTGTCTTCATTGAATTTTTTTTTTATCAAAGGCCTAACATTCTCCCAAAATGATTAATCTTCCTTAGGTTTGGGATCAATTCTTGAATGAATGAAATTTTCTTGTCCAAATCCATAATCCCCACAAATGAGCTACTAGGATGGTCAAAATGTCTTTTTAAGAGGGAGGGGACGTGAATCAAACTTTGGTTCACAGTACTGGATATAACTCAACAATTAACTTCTATTTATTAGTATTATTTAGCCATTGTTTGGTGTCCATTATTCAAAAAAAAAAAAAAAGGTTTTGAATAGTATTTTTAGAAGAATGTGAGGTTAGAAAGTATGAAAAAATATTTGATTTACATGCAAAATATTTTTTGATTGTGTAAATGTTTGGTTGAAAATGATCATCATGAATCAATAAAAATTTTAAAGCAATCGAATCATGTTTAACGGTGCATATATTTTTGGCAGATATTAGAGACGGCCTAACGTGTGGTTATTACATTTGTATCGATCAGCCTTATCACTCCATCACGAGCACATGTATGCCTACCAAGAATTTGGTCCTTGCGATGCAAATTTATTTGTCCTCACACTTGCTTTTATCACTAACCAACAAAATTTTCTGTATCGTGTGGTGTTCATTCACTGGGTCATGCGCCCACCATAGGCTGCAACAAGGACATGGCATTTCGTCACTCAGTTCTTATCTGTTCATTGTATTGCATTCTCAGTAAGATAAGGCCAGAAAGTTTCGGCCAAGATTATTTTAGATGTTGCTAAATGATAGTAATTATAATTTCTTTGTTACCCCATCTTTTGTTTTTCTGAAATGACATTATTTTTAATTGGTCATTTCCTATATTTAGGTCATATTTCCATTATTTACATAGTCAACTGTACGAGTCATGTCGTTAAGATGAGTGACAGAACCAAAAGAGACACGATTGATCAAATGGAATTCAAACTATAGGTTTTTATGGAATTCAAACTATACGAGTCATAGGTTCGGTGACTATGGGTTTTTATGCCGTTGACAATTTAATTTAAGAAAAAAATGCTACTTGTACATTAGGGGGTACATAAGGGTGTCCATTATGGTCACCCTTATGTACACCCCGATATACTTATAGCATCTCCTTAAATTTAATACTTTTATCCGTACTGGATAGGTTTTTGGACAAGGCAGCTATCGTGACAGAGGAAGACAATGTCAAAGCCCCTAATCCATGGAAGCTTAACACAGTCCATCGGGTTGAAGAACTAAAATCGCTTATAAGAATGGGGCCAATATGGGCATCTGGAATTCTCCTCATCACAGCCTATGCCCAACAAAGCACTTTCTCACTCCAACAAGCCAAAACCTTAAACAGGTATATATCTCGTCTAAAAGAAAAAAATGATTAGAAATACAATAAACTTATTTATTTAAATTATATCTTCACTAACAGGCACCTCACCAAATCCTTCCAAATTCCTGCTGCATCCATGAGTGTCTTCACCCAAACCTCTATGCTGTCGACTATCATCTTCTATGACCGCATATTCGTACCTATAATACGTAAACTCACAGGCGTAGAACGTGGTATCTCCTTCCTCACACGGATGGCAATCGGGTTTTTCATTTCATTACTAGCCACTTTGGTTGCTGGTTTTGTTGAATTAAAACGCAAAGATGCGGCAATGGCACATGGACTAATCGACCAGCCTCACGCCATAATTCCAATGACAGTATTGTGGCTAATGCCACAATATTGCCTTCATGGAATAGCAGAAGCCTTCATGTCCATTGGACACCTCGAGTTTTTCTACGATCAGGCGCCGGAAAGTATGAGGAGTACTGCCACTGCATTGTTCTGGTTATCCATTTCTGCTGGGAGTTACACAAGTACATTTTTGGTTACTCTTGTGCATAAGTTCAGTGCAGGCCCTGGTGGATCAAACTGGCTTCCGAATTCAAATTTGAACAAGGGAAAATTAGAGAACTTCTACTGGTTAATCACTTTACTGCAATTTGTCAACTTGATTTATTACCTGTTTTGTGCCAAATTCTATACGTTTAAGCCAGTTCAGGTATGTAAGAGAGAAGATGAAAAGGTCAAAGAAGATGCAGTTGAGCTAACAAGCCATGTTTAATGGCACTAAATTTGGAGGTTGGTGGGCTTGGTCCAGGGTTTAGTCCTCCTTTCTTTCCTAGAAACTTGTGATGTATAAACATAAGTGGTGGCATAAATATCCCACCTATAAATGTAGACGGATATAGATGGGAATATCATAAGCATCTTTGTTTTTTTCACGTGGTATAATTGAATTATATGACTTTTGGGCAAAAAGTTAAAATGTACTTTGATCCTGCTGGAGTATCTAAATTGATTTATTTCTTGAGAAGAGCTACCTCCAATTACACCAATAAATCAATTTCATTCTATTATAATGCCTTGATTGAATTAAAATCTCATATTCAAGATCCCACGAGATAAGAAAAGAAAATGTAAATTAATTAAATAGAATTAAGACAAATTAAGTAAGGTTGATTTTGGAGTTTAATAGAGAAATCATACAGTTACATACAAGCTTTACCAAATTCTTGATTGATCAATATTTGACAAGTAATGAATTTTTTTTTCTTTATTACACACAACTAGCCTATTTATTTTAATTTCCATTGCCATTTTCAAAATAAGGTTACTTTCGAGCCACGTTTTGCGTAAAAAATGAATTTTATAATAATGATTTTCTAACGATTGCGTGGTTAAAAAATAATGAAATTTTTTTAATTTATATTCAAATTATTTTATTGAGAGAATGTGTAGTTGAAAATAAGTTTGAAAACAAATAAATTTTAGAAAACAAATTAGTACATCTTTAATTAAATCATATTACAAGACGTTAACATCTGTATCCCTTGCCGCAAAAAGTGTACATTCACAACTCGATCAAGAATAATATTACACATAGGCCTACAAATTTTTCTTTCTTTTTCAACAATACATTCTTCAAAAAATTATTGAGATATAATAGAGCCCAAATTGGGGCTCCCCTAATTTTGTTGAATGTTCAAAGGTATTATTGCATCATATTGGCAAGTCATGGTCCCCGCTTTAATAAAGTCGACAGGTGAAGAACACGCTATCAACTCAATCTTTAAATATATTTTTCAACTTTTAAAAATATGTTTAATCCTTGCTTTTGAGGAAATATTTTCTTTGAGGAAGTAGATTTTTATTTTTCTCCAAACAAGAAAAATATTTTCTATTTTAGAATATATTTTTCATGTAAATCAAAAACACTTAAGTTCCAATTTTTCCTAAAATATTGAAAGAGTGCAAAAACTGATTAGTGAATACGCGTCATATAAATATTTCAAGGAAACGGAGTCTTCAAAAGTGGGTTGACCTTTCTCACATGGTGTCATGGTGATGGTGGAAATGCCAGTTCGGGGGATTAAAGAAACTCAGATTAATGCTCTTCTCAAACATGGCGCCATAGTAGAATAGTAATTCTCCACGTAAACACCCCCGCCTGTTTGTATATATTTGCCTTCATACAGATCATAGATAGATATATAAGTTTTATTTATCGAGATTTGAAGTTAAACGGTAGAGCGCAACCTTAGTAAACCCAAGAACGACCATGGCCCCCAATTTTCGTTCCCTCTTTTCCAGAAGAGGAAGGCAGTGCACAGCCGAAGAGTAAGCTTATAATTTTCTACCTTTTAATCTTTCTCTCTAGAGCATTTTCGTTTATCTCTCTTCACTCCATTTTTATTCCCAATTGTACTTTTGGGTGTTAATGTTGAAATTTCTGAAAAAAAATGTTCTTGATTCCGAAGGACGAGAGAAAGGGTTTCGAGATTAAGAGTTTCAATGGATGAGGAGGGGGCGTTTGAGGACGCTAACACCGAATTGACCCATTTATCGGCGGTGGCGAATGCGTTTGAGGAGCTTTCTGCGATTGTGAAATCCAAGGGGTTCAATTATGATCTTCGTTTGGAACCCTTTTGCGATGCTTGTTCGCTTGTTTCTGTTCTCTTTGGTTCTCTGGGCATTGCTTTTAAATTTGCTGAATTGGAGTATGTTTCAAAGGTTGGGGTTATTTAAATCCTATTTCATTCTACATATCTTCCATATGTGCATGAATCATTGCATTTTCATTGAATCTTATATATAATTGTTACACATATTGATTTAGATGTGAAATTTCCAGTGTTAGTGCGTGTTTTCAATAATTCAAGGTTATGTGAGGATTCTTGGATTTATGTGAATTGAAAATGATATTTCTTAATGATCACCGAGAGAAGACAAATGAAGAAGGGCATAATAAACGAACTCATCTACTAAGTTGTATTGATGTTGTTTCTTTGATGTTCGCTTTACAAGAGGCACGAAACACAGTTCAGATATGCAGTCTAGATGGGATAAATAGGTACATATTGAGTGAGGATGATGGTGGTAAATTATCCATTTTACAAAAACTCTTTGTACTTAACAAATTAAAATGAATACCCAAGGTAATTCATCAATTTGATACTCGTAGATGAAGTTCCCATTACTTCCACAAATTGGAATGGTATTTCTTTACCTTTTAGATGAATCAAATATAATGAGATGATAAAACCACTAGTTCATACTCGAGAAAATGTAGAGTGCTTTAGCCCTGCATCACCTGTTCTGGGAAAGAATGGACTTTTCTGTTATTTTTTACATCATCAAATTTTTATTTTTTTTTAATCCAAGCAATGGATTAATTTAACTGATTTACATTGCTCCTATCTTCAATCTCCATCCAATTTATTGGCCACTTGTGTTGGAAATTTCATGGTGCTATGACAGCATATTTATCAGTTTTCACGATCCACCTCTATAGATAGTTCCTTCAAATGCATTGTGATTTCATTCATCATGTTCCTTCTTTATTCTATATAAGTGACTTAATTAGATCTAATCTTCCAATTCATTTCAGGTAAATGATTTGGCAGAAGCATCAGGGATACGTGCAACATTAAATAATATACTTGATTTTGACGTAAGAAATGACTCAGTGAAAACACAAGGAAGCCTATCACGTAACTTGCGCAGAGTTAGGCTGGGTATTGATCTCATCAGAGCTTTATTCCAAAACTTCTTGTCATTGGAGTATGTTTTATTCTTTACTTTTCATACCTACTTGTTTTAGATTTATTTGCTTGTCAAAAATTTTGGTTTTTTTTTCTCCGGAGAGGTCGTCTAACATTTGACTATGCTTCTTCCAGTGATTGTTCTTTAAAAGAAGCGGCTTCAGCAGCTTATGCAAAAACTTGTGCACCGTATCACGCATGGGCCATCAGGACTGCTGTTTCTGCTGGAATGTGTGCACTGCCGACAAGGGAACAACTACTGCTGAGGCTAAATGAAACTGGTGAGTTTATTTATGTCATTTTTGCTTTTCCTCTGTCTTTAAAAGTTAACATCGTTATGGTGACTAGTGGAGGGCTATGTTTCTGAACTAGAACACCACACGGTAAGCTTGTGAAATTGTGAAAATCGGAAATGGTACTAACAATTTCTGAACAAGTGAACTTTAAGGATGAAAATTTGCTAAAAAAATAATCAGCACTGAATTTAACTAAAAAAGAAAAAATGTTCATTTAAGTGTCTCCACGAAAACTTACAGAGACTCAGCTTTACTTTGGAAGTTACAATGAAGATGTAAAACTTCATTAGCACTTCTATAATAAACTTACTGGCTTTCTAGAGAAGGGCTATCAACCACATCTGTTTCTGCAAAAGACAATCCTTAAAGTTCATTGAGGGTTGATAAGAATTTTGAGGATTTGGTAGTCGTTGAGCACGAGCAAACTTGCTATTTCAACAATATACTATAAGCTATATATTTAGTGTTTGATCTGTGAATACCTATCTTCCCAAGCCATCTGTTAGATAAAAACAGGGGGTTATAAAATTGAGCTTTGAAACTTGTAAAACACCAAAGTACCCCTTTCTGCATAAGGTCTAGTGACAAAGCACATGTTTGGTAGGTGATTATAATTGGTTTAAATTATAAATAGATAGAAATGAGTGGTGGATAAGCGGGCAATACTTGTGGGTCTCGTGGAAAAAACACCTGGCAAACATGCTTTATCTGGGATGCTAGTTCTTGGTCAGTTTTGTAGGGAAAGATTGTAAATCATATTTCGCAGTCACATCATACTTGGGATGAATTTTTACAGTAGCGTATGAATGCAAGTTTTAGGTCTCATAACAAATGACTGAGCATTTAAAATACAGGACGGAGATTTTGTCTGATTTGAAGTACGTTTCCTCATTGTCATATTCAATCCTTTTTCAGAAGCTGTTGCATAAAATTTGGAATTATGTTGTTGCAAGGAATCAAGTTGCTGAGTATAAACAATATAAAGATGTGAAAAAACTGTGTCAGTTCATATTACAGACATTTGATTTATATGCTTAAAGTTTCTGTTTTATAAACAAGAAACACAACTGATGGTGTTAGTACTTCTATTCAACATTGTTTCAGAAGAGTCAGCGGAGAAGGAAATGCGAAGATACATCAATGCTTCACTTCCAATCATAGAATACATCGATAAGTTGTACACTTCAAGAAATATCAGCTTGGATTGGTGAGCTCTTCTCAAAGCAGCAAAATTGAACATTTTCTGAAGGTACATCAGAAGCAAGATATTCCGATTTGTCCTAAGAAGCTTTCTGATCAGTGCAGACTTGAACATACTTCTAGTAATGAGGTCTAGTTTTTGTTACATCATTTTTCCCTATTTTGGGTAGAATGGTAGATGTGGATGAAAATGGATGCTTCTGCAGACTTGTAGCCAAGCATCCAAGCAGTCGAAATAGCAGTATCTTATATATGTAGGCCAATTTAGGTGAAGTTATTTTTCCTACATAATACCATTTATTCGTGGGTTAACTGGCACATGTACATAGGATGTTTTGCTAGAAAATACAAATTCATAGAGAATATATATTTTTATTTGATTTGCGATTATTATCAAATGATGTTGAAGAAGTCTGGGTGACCTTTGTACCCAAAAGTACGTACGTCACTTCTCATCTCGATTGGGATGTTATGCAATTCTCTCGAGACGCCTACTTTCTGGCATATAGTTCCTTGTAACATTGCCAAAAGCTTTTTAACTCCGCTGGAGGCCTGGAGACAAGCTTCCCTTAGCCGTATTCTTTAATGGCATGCTCTGGGACGACATTAAGTTTAATCAGCTGCGACATTTGGAAGTAAGTTTAACTTGCTGAAAAAAGAGAGAATAGAGGGTCAAAAAATGAGGGAAAATTTACAGCCTCGAGACGTTAAAAGGGAAAGCCCGTGGCAATTAATGTATGCAACACTAGAAATCAAGAAGATTTTCTTCTTTAACATTGTCTCTGTTCATTTTTTCTACTAAACATGTTATGTGATTTAGGGTGAAGCAAAGGGATTATCAGGCACTACCTTTTGATGCTACTAAAAATGTACATGGGATGATTTGAGGTTGGTCACGGGAACTGGACCAGTATGACCACAGTCTGAGCTCCTATGCTTAAATTAGTATAGAAAAAATATATGCGCCGGATTGTAAAGTGAATAATGCGAGAAAAAGTAATCCTCTAAGATTAAAAGCTTGTTTGGTATAGAAATTTTTTCAAGTGATTTTTTTTTTTTTTTTTGAGTGAAAAAGTAGAGAAAGGATGTGGGTTTTATAAAATGTGTGATTAAAAATGATTTTGAGGAAAAATGATTTTAAATTTTTTTTTATCCAATTGCTTTTAAGTCCTGACAATGGGCCCGAGAGTCTGCATTGATGTAGGAATATTGGTTCAACCATTTATTCCAGTCTTAACAAGATTGTGTGTCCTTAGTGAAAAAAAAATTTGGATTTTAGAGTGTTGACTAGAACTAGGGCATTGTAGGGTTCTCGTCCACCCCATCCCATGGTCGGGGTGGTCATGCAACTATAAGTGTGCTTGGTCCTCGAGACTCGAGTCATCTCACGGGGAAGAGGCCGTCCTGGACTAATTGGGTTTTTTCATGTTTTAAGGATAGTATGTTCCCTTTCCCTAAGACGTCAAATGTCGATTCATCACCCTAATGAAATGGTCGGGGTTCAAGGATACACTGGTCGGGGTTCGTCTCAAATTTTAGCCCTTATTTGGTTCACATTAAATTTTTTCTCTTTTCAACTTCACATTCTCCGAATAAAATAATATTACACACAAATTTAAAACTTTTCATTATTTTTCGACCACACATTCTCTCATCAATCACTACTCCAAAATTTATAAGTTCTCCAAAATGGGGGCAAACAATGACTTAGCCTTATCGCTCTCTATTGTTTCGCTAAGCCCACCAGCTTACATTTTGACCAGATTTATGGACAGAATTCGTTCAAGGGTAAACTCAACTTGCAAAAATGTTGACAAGTCTTGAACCAACTTGCAGCGCAATTAGTTAAAGTGCACACGTCAAATGATATTGATTCCTTGTTTGATCCCCATTATTTTCAAAATATATTTTTCTCACTTATTTTTCAATCATAGATTTTTCAATAAAATAATGTTATACACAAACCCAAAACTTTTCTTTAATTTTTAACCACACATCATTCATCAAAATACTATTTCAAAAAGCATTATTTTCAAAAAAAAAAAAAAAAAGAGGTTCAAACATGCTCACACGCTGATTGCGGGGACCATCTGTCCCCCAACTTGTCACGTGCCTTGTCTTGTCATCAATACTTTTAATTGCAAAGTCGTCCCCACCACTTGTCTCAATGTAAAGTCTACATTGTTTACAACGTGCTGGTCTATCAACTTGCAACACACTTATTCCAAACTTATCCAATTACAGTTAAGGAAGAAAGAACAGGAACCCTAGGATAATTCTAACAGAGATCAGAGAGATCTTAAAATTAATTGGTTGAACTGCCTCAACAAATGGCCACAGAGGTTTACAAGATAAGTCTTGAGAAGTGCAGAATTCAAGGCCAACGATTCAACCACGTGGCATCTTCATTTCAACAAAATTGCATTTCCACATAAAAAAGAGGCATGTTATATGTACATAAAAATTGGCATATTAATTTACACTCATGTAAATTGACAGATTTTAGTACAGTAATCTTGAAAACATCTTTTACAATCATCTGTTAGATTTTTGACAAAAAAGAAGATGTCAATCAAGATGTATACTTTGTGTGTACAAGTAACTTAGTTAAAAAAAAAAACAATCCCACTAGATTGATAGATAGAAAAAAAATTCCAATGAATATTTTTCCTTTTTACACTAAAGATTAAATGGACTTGGGGTACAAGGGCTGGGCTAAAGCCCAATCTTGCCTCCCCCTCCCGACGCTCGTGTCTACGTGCAACGTTACTTATCCCTTGTTTGGACTCTATTTTATTAAAATACATTTTTTTTTTAAAAAAAAAATCTTTTTCAATCGTACATTCTCACATAAAATAATATTACATGTAAATTTATAATTTTTTTCTTATTTTTTAATTTATTTTTCAAAAAATCACTATTTCATATATTGTTTCAAATTTTTTTAGTGGAGTCCGAACCGGAGACTTTGGATGATAACTTCCACACAGTCTTGTCGAAGACTTTACTGGATAATATCAATTAAAGAGTAAGATTTGACAATCAAATGTAGGTGCTGAAAATGAGGAAGATTCTTAGTTTTAAAAGTTTTTGCGAAGAGCGGGGGGTGGGGTCATATGATGTCAGCTCTTTGACCTTTGTTCTGCTTCTTAACTTCCGTTTGGCTTCCATTAATTATAATTTATTATCCCCTCTTATCAACTACACCTTTTTAATAAAAAAATATTAAATGTAATTTAAAAACTTTTTCTTCTTTTTTAAACACACCTTTTTCTAAAAAAATAATATCCAACCATTAAAATTTCAACTAATGGGGACCAAACGAGGTCTTAGTTATAGCCTTTTATATATTTAGCCCTTCTTCAACAATCATTATTTGAAAATCATTTTTTCTATATATTCATTTTCAATCATATATTCACGTAAAAGCATGTTTTACACGTAAACAAAAAGAATTTATTACTTTTTAACCATTCATTTTCATAAAAATCATGATTCAAAATATTGCCTTTTAAGAATAATGTTCATCAAAAAGAGGTTTAATCATTTTTTTTAAGGAAAATTGCACCACAATACCAAACATTTCATTTTGCTGTAGACTTGATCTAAACCTTTCATTCGTACCATCCACGATTTCAGATTTTTCACAAAAAAGGAGGATGTCAATCAAGATGTATACTTTGTATGTACAAGTAACTTAATTTTTTATAAAAAAATCCTACTCGATTGATAGATAGAAAAAAAAATTCCAAATAATATTTTTTTCTTTTTTACACTAAAGATTAAATGGGCTTGGGGTACAAGGGCTGGGCTAAAGCCCAATCTTGCCTCCCCCTTCCTACGCTCATGTCCACGTAACGTTACTTATCTCTTGTTTGGACTCTATTTTATTAAAATACATTTTTTTTAAAAAATCATTTTCAACCATACATTATCACATAAAATAATGGTATGTGTAAATTATAAATTTTTTTTTAATTTTTTAATTTGTTTTTCAAAAAATCTCTATTTCATAGTATCACTATGTTTGACACCCATTTTATGGGAATGAAAATTTTTGGAATAGTGATTGATGGGAGAATGTGTGGTGAAAAAGTAATGAAAAGTTTTAGATTTGTGTGTAATATTATTTTATTGGAAGAATGTGTGGTTGAAATGAAAAAAGAGAAAAAAATGAGAATGAGAATGAGAATAGAATGGGTGCCAAACAGGGGCTATATGTTCTTTCAAAAAAATTTAGTGGAGTCCGAGGAGACTTGCCATCAAGGATGATGACTTGCACGTAGTCTTATCAGAGACTTTACTGGATAATATCGATTAAGGAGTAAGATTTGACGGGACAACCAATCAAATGTAGGTGCTGAAAACGAAAAAGATTCTTAGTTTGAAAAGTTTTGGCGAAGAGCGAGGAGTGGGGTCATATTACGTCAGCTCTTTGGCCTTTGTTCTCGACGCTTCTTAACTTCTGTTTGGCCCCAATTAATTATAATTTATTTTTCTCTCTTCTTATTAACCACACAATTTCCAATAAAAAATATTAAATGTAATCTCAAAACTTTTTGTTCTTTTTTAAACACACACTTTTCCAAAAAAAATACTATCAAACCATTAAAATTTCAACTAATGGGGACCACACGAGGGCTTAGTTATAGCCTTTTATATACTTAGCCCTTGTTCGACAATCATTATTTGAAAATCATTTTTTCTATATACTCATTTTCAATTATATATTCACATAAAAACATGTTTTACACATAAACAAAAAAAAATTCTTACTTTTTAACCATTCATTTTCATAAAAATTACAATTCAAAATATTGTTTTTTAATAATAATGTTCATCAAACAGAGGTTTAATCATTTTTTAGGGAAAATTGCAACCACGGTATCAAACCTTTCATTTTGTTGTAGACTTGACATAAACTTTTCATTTGTACCATCCACGACATCAAATATTTAAAAAATATGCACCTAAACTCCAAATGGATGGAAACAGTTAATCAATTTGTTAA